GCTCTTAGGGGGGAGGGGGGTTAAGGGTATTTAGGTTGATTTTTTTTTTGGTGGGGCGGAGGGGGTTTGGGTATCTAGGGTTATTTAAGGCATTTGGAGGCTTACGGTAGTTTTAGAGTAGGGCATTGCGGCATTTTCGGTACATGCTTTAGGGCAATGAACTAATGGCTTGAGGATGCTTCATTCGCAGTTGGACTTTCAAGGTCGGTTCTGTAACAGGGACGCAGCCGTAGAAGCTTGCCACAAAAAAAACACCAAGGAGACACCAAACTGGTTTGAAGAATCTGAGGGGGGAAGGGAGAGTTCGTTGCCCGGGACTTTCTGTCACGACAATTCTTGCTGTAGGATGCATAAGTTGGCGGCTGGTTCAAAAAAAACCTAAACCCTAAGATTCTTTGGAACCCGTCTGCTGTAACCCTAAACCCTAGGTTGTTGGCTTCAGGACTCTGGTCGGTGAGTGCTTCAGGCTTTGAGGGCAGTAGAGGAGCTGGGAGTTTAAGATTTGCTTTCTGATTATGAAATAAGCTTGCTCCTGGCACGCTCCTCTCCTCGTTGCCACCAAAAGAATCTTCACACGTTCGTTGAAAGGGTTGAAAACTGCAGGGACTATAGAGGGTATACCTACTGGTTCTTCAGAGGCACTGAGGGGCATAGGTACTTCATGTCCCACTTTATGTACACTGTACAACCTCAAAGGAATTCTGTAGGGTACTAAATTCCACTCATCCCCCTATATATATATATATATACATACATAAGGGATTCTATAGGGTCCCTAACTCCCTGATTCCCTACGCTTAGACTTTTTGGGGAGGTCGAACCACTCAAGTCAGTGTGACCCCTGACAGAACCCTAAACCCTAAACCCTAAAGCCCTAAACCCTAAACCCTACACCCACTCAGCGCTGGGCGTGGAGTAGCCCGAATATGCCTTCGCACCTTGGCTCTGTCAGACGCGACCTTTCTAGGGTTTCGGGTTTAGGGTTTAGGGTTTAGGGTTGACCTTTCTAAACCCTAAAGCCCTAAGCCCTGAAACCCGCAAACCCAATGATCTCTACAACCCTTAACCCGAGAAAAAAAACCCTAACACCTCCCTCAACCCTGAGCCCTAGAACCATATGGGGTTTCCGGTATTGGGGGCACCTTATTAAGGTCCTTACTGAAAAAGGGAACCTTACTATTTGGGGGTCTATATAGGCGCTGAACCCCGAAACCCCTAAACCCTAAACCCTAAACCCTAAACCCTAAACCCTAAACCCCGTCTGGGTGCCCCACGTCCTGGCAAGCCCAGGGTGCGCGAGATGGGCGTCGCGTCCTCAAGGGGATTAAAGGTCGGAAGGCTGCTGCGGGGTTTACTTGCGGTTTAGGGTTTAGGGTTTAGGGTTTAGGGTTTAGCATCCTCAAGGGAAGAAGGTCTGACGACTGGACAGGGTTTACCCTAAGGATCCTGGTGGCCTAGAGAGTATATACCTGGGCCCTAAAGCTACTATACATGAACCCCCTTTGAAGGCCCAAGTGTATGCTGAGTAGGTGCAGGGATCATTAGGGTTAGGGTTCGGTTTAGGTGCTTCGCTGGACGTTGTCATATTGCGACGTGCCTGAGGCCAGGCCCGAAAACATCAAAGCATTGAATGACTCATACCGAAACCTAAAGCCTAAAGGGTTTAGGGTTTAGGGTTCAGGGTTTAGGTCATACCCTGGTCGATATCTGGCTGACATCTCTTCCTTATCCAACGACCTGGAAATCAAGAAGACCAAGAAGTTGAAAGTTGCTCGATCGCCCCCCCCCCCCCCCCTCGCCCTACACCCCCTAAACCGTAAACCCTAAACCCTAAACCCTAAACCCTAAACCCTAAACCCTAAACCCTCTCAGTCACCGACGGGTGTGGCGTAGGGCCCGTGGCCACCGTAGCCGGAGGAGCATGGCACTTGCAAGGCCTGCGGCGCAAGTTTTGGGTGCTTTTGTTAAAGGAGGGTTTAGGGTTTAGGGTTTAGGGTTTAGGGTTTAGGGTTTAGGGTTTAGGGTTTAGGGTTTAGGGCTCAGGGTTTGGGAATTAGGTGCTTTTGGGTTCAGTGCGTATGGGACTTATCGGGTTTCATCTTCGGGCTTTACGGTCTTGAGCTTTTTTATGGCTCAAGATGTATTTCCGGGCTTGGGGTTTAGGGTCTTTGGGCCTAGGGTAGAATTCAGGGTGTTTTGTAGTGCAGACTTAGGTTTTTTCGCCTTCAGGCTTTTGGGTTAAGCGTTTGTTTGGGGTGGTGGGGCGGGGGAGGGTCTTAGGGCTTTTGGGAGCTTAGGGTTTAGGGTTAAGAGCTCCAGAGCTGGTGCTCTGAAGCTTCAGGTTTAGGGTTTAGGGTTTAGGGTTTAGGGTTTAGGGTTTAGCGTTTAGGGTTTAGGGTTTAGGGTTTAGGGTTTAGCGTTTAGGGTTTAGGGTGATCCGGCTTCAGGGTACTAGGGCTTCTGTAGTTTCGAGGGGGTGGGTGCAAAGGTCTATTTCTGATTTGGATGCTGGTTTTTCGGCAATTCAGAGATTTAAGTCTGTTTACGCTGTTCTGCCGGGCTTTAGGGGCGAGAAGGGCTTGCGGATCTACGGCTTGGGGTCAGCTCGCCTGAGACTTTGGAAAGCATGTATGCGCACAAAGTAAACCAACATAAGCATATGAGTAGGAAGTAAATCAACAATGAAGATGATGTCTCTATCCCTATGTATATGTCTATAGTCACAAACAGCAACAAGAAGCAAATGCCCCTAAGCCCTTGAACTTCTCAACTGGCACCCTAAACTCAAAGCCTAAAAGAACCCTAAACCCTAAACCCTAAACCCTCAGCACCCTCACAAGAACCTCTGAGCCGCGAGAGATAGGCAGTGTTGGCATCAGGCGGGTTGGAGTTGGGGCCTCGGTAGGGCCCAAGGATTAGAGGTTTGGGGGTTTAGGGTTTAGGGTTTAGGGCTTAGGGTTTAGGGGTTCGGGTTTAAGGGTTTGAGGGGTACAGGGATTTAGCGGCTTAGGGTGTAAGCTTATAAAGTTTTTTGGGAATGTATCAGGGGGTCTTGGGTCACGCGGCCAAGGCCTAGGCATGAAGCAGTTTAGTCCAGGCTTTGGAGGGTGCAGCGGTTGAGAGGTTTAGGGTTTAAGGTTTAGGGTTTAGGGTCAGCAACCTCCACCCCAAACCATGTGTGGCATGGTTCTGGGGTCCCAGAACCCTGTCGGGTTTAGACTCGAGGTTGTTCTTTCTTCTTGGACTCTTCATAAAGAACTCCAGGGGAGGGGGGAGGGGGAAATTGGGGTAAACCAAAACGTAATACTCTTTCCATAGCCTAAACACCTAAGTTCGCTACATAATCAATCCCCAACCCTAAACCCTCAATCTGAACCTTAAACCCAAAACCCTGATGCAAAAAAAACAAGAAGGCCTCAACCACCTGGGGACCGGTGCTGATTCTGTCGAGTCGGTCTTCTCCACAACATTTGCCTCGCCAGGAGCCAGAGAACCCAACAGTCCAGGATTCTCTGGGCACCCCCCCCCCCCCTTGGGTTTAGGGTTTAGGGTTTAGGGTTTAGGGTTTAGGGTTTCGGGTTTCGGGTTTCGGGTTTCGGGGTTTAGGGCTTCGTTGTTTTCATCCTTTGGGGATCGGTTTTCATCCTGCGGGGTTCGGGCTTTATCTAGGGTTCTAAGTATGGGCCCTTGATTTGGGTCCCTTTGCTGTAGAACCATGATATACATCGTATATAATAAGGGCCCATACTTTGGATCCCTATAAGCAAGAGCAAGGGACCATACTCAGGGCCCCAAACCCTAAACCCTAAACCCTAAACCCAAAACCCTGAACCCTAAACCCTAAACCCTAAAGGGCCCATGATCCGAACCTAGAACTTCAGGTTCGGGGCCTAGGTTCAGGGTTTAAGGGTTTAAAAAAAGGCAGGGTTTAGGGTCTAGGGTCTAGGGTCTAGGGTTTAGGGTTTAGGGTCTAGGGTTTAGCAAAATGCTAAACCCTAAACCCTAACCCAAGAGGCAGAAGGGAATGGTTTGCAGAGATTGGTTAAGCCACGTCTTGGGGGTGACCCTGAACTAAACCCTAAGTTTTGAGCTATTTTTGAGGGGGGGGGGGGGGGGGGAGTTCGGCATGAGCTTATCCTGGAGGGAGATACTTTGGAAAACGCCGGAATGAATCCAGGTTGCCCAGAAACCTAGCATTGAAAAGGGTGCTCTTCTTGGCTTAAAGGGGTTAAAAAGGGGACCCCCCCCCCCCCAAAAAAAACCCTCAACCCTCAACCCTCAACCCTCAACCCTCAACCCTCAACCCTCAACCCTCAACCCTCAACCCTCAACCCTCAACCCTCAACCCTCAACCCTCAACCCTCAACCCTCAACCCTCAACCCTCAACCCTCACCCCTCAACCCTCAACCCTCAACCCTCAACCCTCAACCCTCAACCCTCAACCCTCAACCCTCAACCCTCAACCCTCAACCCTCAACCCTCAACCCTACCCCCCCCCCAAAGAAAGAAAAACAAAAAACAAAAAAGAAGGAATCAGGGTATTACTGGGCATCCTAAGAATTCAGAGGGCCGGTATAATGAAGATGAGGAATTCGGAAGGCTTCCTTGGTTGCAGTGACCCTTTGAAGCAAGGAACCCTGCAAAAGCGGGGTGTAGGGTTTAGGGTTTAGGGTTTAGGGTTTAGGGTTTAGGGTTTAGGGTTTAGGGTTTAGAGCTAGAGCTTCGGCTAGGCCTAACCCTAAGCACCCTAAGACTGCCCCAAGCCCTAAGCCCTAAGCCCTAGACCCGAAGGGTTTAGGGTTTAAGGGTTTAAGGGTTTAAGGGTTTAAGGGTCTAAGGGTCTAAGGGTTTAAGGGTTTAAGGGTTTAAGGGTTTAAGGGTTTAAGGGTTTGAGGGTTTGAGGGTTTGAGGGTTGAGGGTTTAGGGCTTCGGATTTACTCCTAAACCCTAAACAGCCCTAAGCCCTAAATGAACCACAAAAACCAACTGGGCCATGCCTTCACCAAGCGATGCCCCTTGCTGGGTCCAGTTGCGGCCACCACGGCAGCCCGCCACAGCGCCTGCGCTCTCCACCACGCTCAAGATCTCCCTAAGGCCTACGCAAGCTTAGGGTCGAGCCCAAATCCTAAACCCTAAACCCTAAACCCTAAACCCTAAACCCTGCTCGGGGTTCGGGGTTTTGTGTCTTCATGGCTTGAGACATCTTCCAGATCTCGGCCTTCACCTCATCCTTGGCCGTGAACTCCTCAGTCCAGAGTCTTGCTTGACCAGGGCTTAGGGCTTAGGGCTGGGTTTAGGATTTAGGGTTTAGGGTTCAGGGTTCAGGGTTCAGGGTTCAGGGTTCAGGGTTCAGGGTTCAGGGTTTAGGGTTCAGGGTTCAGGGTTCAGGGTTCAGGGTTCAGGGTTTAGGGTTTAGGGTTCAGGGTTCAGTTCAAGGGGAAGCAGGAGTCTCAGCCACCAAGCTTGGGCCTGTGCTGGCGCCAGCGACTCGTCACTCACTGGGACGACGCCCTGTACCTCTACAGAGATATGGCTTGGGGTTGAACTGGGTCCTAAGAGGTTTAGGGTTTGGGGTTTAGGGCTAGGGTTTAGGGTTTAGGGTTTAGGGGTTTAGGGTTTAGGGTTTAGGGTTTAGGGTTTAGGGTTTAGGGCTTCGGGTCGAACTTGGGCTTTGGGGGTGTTGGGAGAAGCAGAGGGAAAGGGACAGATACACCAGCTTAACCTAAACTCTGGCTTTAAACGCCCCTGAAACCCTAGACCTCTACACCCAAAGACCCCCTAAATCCCGAGACACCTAAACCCAAAGACCCCTAAACCCCAAAGCCCCTAAACCCCCAAAGCCCCTAAACCCCTAAACCACCCCTAAACCACCCCCAAACCCCTAAATCTAAACCAGAATTACAAGGGCAGCGCGCCTGCAGCTTGTCGATGTCGAAGGAGCCTTGAGCTGTGGACGTGAGCTGCAAGGGTCTCGGGCGTATGGGGTTTCGACTAGGGTTTCGGAGTTTCGGGTTTTACTCTAAACCCTAAACCCTAAATCCTAAAGATTGGGAATTCGAGGTTAAAGGGTTCAGCGCTGAAGGGCTTCTAATATAGGATTCACAGGGCTATAAGAGGGCTTCCAGGGGTTATAGGGGTTCAGGGAGTATAGGGCTGTAGAGTCTTAAGGTTAGGGCCGGTTAGGGTGACAGGTTCATAGGATTCCATGTTTAAAGGTTAGTAAACCCTAAACCCTACAGCTTAAACCCTAAACTCTAAACCCTCAACCCTAAACTGGCCGAGGCCGCCGCTAAATGCGATGTCCTCCCAGGCGCCGGGAGCCGTCGTGTAGAGCAGCCTTCCGCTCCATCCGTCCTTCTCTCGGCTTGGCGCCCTCAAACTCACCTAAAACCCTAAACCCTAAACCCTAAACCCTAAACCCTAAACCCTAAACCCTAAACCCTAAACCCTAAACCCTAAACCCTAAACCCTAAACCCTAAACCCTAAACCCTAAACCCTAAACCCTAAACCCTAAAGGGTTTAGGGTTTAGGGTTTCGGGTTTAGGGCTTAGGGTTTAGGGCTCGGGTTGGGGCTTCAGATTTTTTGGCATCCAAAGCCCGAAACAGAACCTTAATGGCGCAAGCTCCTGTCTCAGGAAAGCCAGGATGTCTCTGAAGAACTGCAGGGGTACCTTGCCATCAGCCTGGCCGCGCCAGATGGGCTTAACCCAACGATTCCCTCTGGCAATGCTATAGGGTTTAGGGTTTAGGGTTTGGGGTTTAGGGTTTGGGGTTTAGTGTTTAGGGTGCTATATTCGGGGGTGTACGAAAATAGGGGACCTTGAAAATAGACCCACGTAATAAGGACCCCAACAAGGTTCCCCTGAAACACCCCTATTCGGAAACCCCCAAATGGCCACAACGGTCTGAAGTCGGTGACTCATTCTGGCGTGCGGCCCTATGCACAACGCTTAGAACCCTGAACCGTGCACCTTACACCCTTATAAATCCGAAAATCATGATGACTTCTACTATAGGGTTCTTAAGGGAGGGGGGTTCATGGGGGTTAGGTACCTCGGGAACCTGAAAGAAGCTTAGGGAGCCTTAGGGAGCGGTGGGGGGGGGGGGGTAGGGAACCTTGGGTTACATAGCCCCCTTAAATGCCCCCGCTCTTCTGAACCCTTTTATTCTAGTTCGGTCCAATTCTGGTTCGGCCTACTTGGAGGTTCATGATACTTATTCACCAAGCCTAACTGTAGTTATAACCCACTTATAAGCCCCCGAAGTGCCCCAAAATGCTTCTAAGTACAGTTATAAGTAACATAAGTAGCCCTAAACCCTAAACCCTAAACCCTAAACCCTAAAACCGAAACCCGCCATGAACCTCCAAGTAGGGTGGCAAAGCAGGGGCGCAGCCTTCCAGGATGAAATTGCCTTCAGCATCAGCTTCAGCACCCCTCGCAACCTGACATTTCGAGGGTTGTGGGCTTCGGGTTTTAAACCCCTAAAACCTAAAACCCCTCAAAGCCCAAAAGGCCTTAAAAGCCACAAAGGCCCTAAAACCCCCCCCCAAAAAAAGCCCTATAGTAAAAGCCCCAAAAGCCGCAACAGCCCTCAAACGGCCTACAGCCCCAAAAACCCCCAAACCTTGAAGGCATAGAGGGTTTAAGGGCTACCCCCGCGCTTTTAAAGAGACCCTTCCTGGAGAACCCGGCGGTCTCCTTTTTTTGTATTGCAGATGGTGGTCTGTTTAGGATTTAGGGTTTAGGCTTTGGGGTTTAGGGTTTAGGGTTTATTTATATATTGCAGATGGTGGGTTCTCAAAATCATGGTCCCTTCCTTTTGGGTACAATATATTTTCGGCGCTGCAGCAGAATAGTAGCCGCAAAGGGACTAGAATTTAGAGAAGGTCACCATGTAGGGTACTTCGGGAGGTATAGGGTTTAGAGGGCTTTAGTGTTTTTAAGCCTTGTATGTCAACAGGGTCCAAAATTAGAGTTGTAAGCCTTGTAACCCGGGACCCGAATTTAGGGAAGGTGACCATTAGCCCCTGGTTCGTAGTAAGGAACGAAGGAATGAGGGCCCCAAAAATAACCTTTAAGGGATTCTATAGGGCCCCAATCCCCTCATTCCCTACTAAGAACCAGCCAGGGTGTCTCGAGAAGCATCTTTTTGAGGGCCCGATAGAAACCCTTTCAGGGCTCCAATTCCACCATTCCCCACCCTAAACCCCAAACCCTAAACCCTAAACCCTAAGCCATAAACCCGAAGAACCAGCCAGTTCAGGGTCTTTCGGGACATCTGAGCCCAGCGACAGCGGCTGCTGGGGCATGTGGGTCATCTCCTCGGCCGCACTTTTAAAGACAAGGAACCCCAAACCCTAAACCCCAAACCCTAAACCCTAAACCCCAAACCCTAAACCCTAAACCCCAAACCCCAAACCCTAAACCCTAAATTTAGGGAGTTTGGGGGCCGTTTAGGGTTGAGGGTTGAGGTTTTAGGGTTTAGGGTTTAGGGTTTAGTGACGCCCACAGCAGGAAGACCAACGGCACATGTTCCGACGAGCGTCGTTCACAAACAGAATGGCCGTGGTCTTGTTGGCGGGAGGGACGTGACTCCTGCTCGAAAGGCAGTGGGTTTAGGGTTTAGGGTTTAGGGTTTAGGGCTTGCCCTAACGAACACTCTAAGCCTAAACCCAAACCCGATAAACCCGATAAACCCGAAACCATAAATCATCCTCCGAAGTTCCCAAGCCCACAGACCCTGCAAGCATCCTGATACCCTAAACCCTAAACCCTAAACCCTAAACCCTAAGCCCTAAACCCTAAACCCCAAACCCAAAACCCATGCCCAGGTCCCAACATCCTGTCTCCGCCTGTGGAAGAAGTCCAACCCTAGAAAAAAGACCTGGGGTTTAGGACTCAAAGTTCGGGGGCTAAGTATGGCCACTAAGCCCATCATTAAAAAAAAGGAGAAGGCAGGACATAGACCCTTTAAAGCCTCAAAGCCCTACAAACGTTTCCTTCTCAAACGCTTTATTTCTTTCTTGTTAGTAAAGGCACCGAGCCCCCTGGTCCTGGTCTCTGCCACGTAGTCGTCCCTGCTGAGCCGGCCCCTGCGACGTTTAGGGTTCAACACAGGCACGGGCTTTTAGGCCCCTAAATCCCAAAACCCCAAGCCCTAAACCCCAAACTTCAGCTCGGAGCCTTGTAAGAAGGCCCTAGACCCTCAACCCTATACCCTAAAACTAGGGGATAGGATTAGGGGGACCCTTGGGGATATAGACCCTCTGAATAAGGTCCCTGTTTAAGAGAGCCAGAAGAGGGTTAAGAAGGGGTTCCCTTTTAAGGGTCCCCCTTATCCTACCTAGGAAAAACCATTAAGTCGCAAGGCGCCTGAAATTGTCGTTGCCCCCAATCAGCAGGAATGACACGGCGTAGTCCGGCCAGAAAACAGGGCTCGGAAGCTTCATGGCCTCAGCACGCTTTGCAGGGTTTAGGGTTTAGGGTTTAGGGTTTGGGGTTTGGGGTTTAGGGTTTAGGGTTTAGGGTTTAGGGTTTAGGGTTTAGGGTTAGGGTTTGGGATTAGGGTGTAGGGTTTAGGGCTTAGGGTTCCTGAACCCCCAAGCCCGGAAACTTCGACCCTAAACCTCCAAACCCAAGAAGCCTTGGTTAAGGGAGTTATGGTCTCGTCTGGTCCACTTTGAGGAGCTCAGCTCTGCACGCAGCCGCCGTTGATGACCACTACCTCAGGCACCGTCGTGCGAGGCAAAAGGGGTAGACTCACTAGACCCCAAAACCCACAAACCCTAAACCCTAAACCCTAAACCACAAACCCTACACCCCCCTAAGCCCTCGGAACCCTAAACGCGGACACCGCAACTGGGCGCTCGGCCGGAGGGACCGGAGGCGACAGCCCCTGCGCCTTTCCAGCTGCTCACCATGCCCTAAACCCTAAACCCTAAACCCTAAACCCTAAACCCTAAACCCTAAACCCTAAACCCTAAACCCTAAACCCTAAACCCTAAACCCTAAACCCTAAACCCTAAACCCTAAACCCTAAACCCTAAACCTTTCCAGCTGTTCACCATGAAAGGGGGAAGGTTCGGGCTTCGGGGCTTCGGGCTGTGAGTTCCTTCTAGGGGTTTAGACCCTAAGCCCTAAACCCTATGTGGCTTAGGGATAGGGTTTTTAGGGGTTCAGGCTTTGAGTTTCGGGCTTTAGAGTTGATTTTTGGGTTGTTTCGGGTGCTTTTGGAGCCCTTTTGTTTTTTTTTGGGGGGGAGGGGGGATTTTGGGTTTCAGGGATTTGTAGGGACCCTAAAACTCTAAACCCTAAACCCTAATCCCTAAACCCTAAACCCGACACCCTCATCCTAAACCCTAAGGACTGGCCCCTCGCCAAACTGCGCCACATATGTCGCCACAGTATGGGCATAGTTCAGAGGCATCGTCCTCTGAGTCGCACCACTCAAGGAAAGTGCAACTTCGACCTCTGTCGGAACCTGAGGGTTTAGGGTTTAGGGTTTAGGCTAAAGACCTGCTTGAAACATCGCAGGCATCCAAGGGCATGCCTGTTCGGTCTCAACAGCGCTACACTTCCATGTCCATGCCTTGCAGGCAGGATGCTCGAACATCTTGCCTTTGAACTTACTCTGTAATGGTCCGTGCCGCGGGCCCCACTGTTCACTCCCTTCAAGCACCTCATGTTCTGTGAAGCGTTGCTTGCCACACCTTGGCAAAACTGCGAGATGTGCGAATCAGACGCTGTCAAGAAAAACTAAACCCCAACCCCCAAAATCCAAAACCCAAAACCCTTATAAACCCTAAACCCTAAACCCTAAGCCCTAAGCCCTAAGCCCTAAGCCCTAAACTCTAAACCCTAAACCCCAAACCCCAAACCCCAAACCCTAAACCCCAAACCCCCCACGTGTGTTACGCGAAGCCCTGAACCCTGCGCGCCTCTGCCTGCCACATGTGAGGCAGCACCTTGCGGCACCGGCATGGTCCGGGGTTTAGGGTTTAGGGTTTAGGGTTTAGGGTTTAGGATTTAGGGTTTAAGGTTTAGGGTTTAGGGTATAGGGTTTAGGGCAACTGAAATCCAAAAAGGCTTGGGGCTTTTGGAGGGCCAAAGGGTGTTGTGGACGGGCGGCTTCCGATAAACAGATCTAAGGCTGCCACTGGTTGGACTTGCCACATTATGACCAGACCCGGGAGTAACCTCTTGGCTTTAAGGGGATTATAAGGGAACCCCAACCCTAAAAAAAGGAAAGGAAAAAAAAAAGGGCCTACTCCCGGTCCTAGATTTTCATGTGGTTTAGAGTTTAGGGTTTAGGGCTTCGCTCCAGACATGCAGTTGCTTTCATGACCTAAACCACCTAAACCCTAACCCTTGAACCTCACTTACTTGGAGGTTTATGGTACCTATTAACCACGTAGAACTGTACTTATAACCCACTTATAAGCCCCTTAAGTGCCCTAATATGGTTATAAGTACAGTTATCAGTACAGTTGTCACTGAGTACCAAGAACCTCCAAACTTATCTCGCAGTTAGGACCTTGTCGCAAACCCAAAACCAAAATCGAGATCCCAAAGCCACAAACAAACAAATGAGGACCCCTTCCCCCCCCCCCCCCCCCGCCCCCTCCTTCAAACAAAAAGGACAGCGAGCCCTAAACCCTGAAGGGGAAAGAAGAGTGTTGGGCCTCGGGCCTCCGCTTTTAGGTTTAGGGCTTGGATTTGGGTCACCCAAGGCAGCGGCCACTTGCCCGCCGCGGGAGCCAAAGACCATGGTCTGGACTTGAGTGTGCACGCGGGTCTCCAATACCTACGGCGGAAGGCATCCTGTTTTAGGGATACTTGGGATTTCTTTCTGTTGTGTTTAAGGTTCGAGGTTAAAGAATTAGGATTTGTGAGGAGAGCTACCAGAGGGTCCCTAAACCATAAACTCTAAGCCCTAAACCCTAAAGCCTAAACCCAAACCCTAAACCCTAAACCCTAAGCCCTCCCTAAACCCGAGTGCGAACAGTCCGCACCTCCTCGGCAAAGCTCATGAGGTTCGGCGCTGGAGCGCCATGTGGCCAGCATGGCCTTGCTTGGAGGCTTATTAACCAATCATATCTGTACTTGTAGGGTTTAGGGTTTAGGGTTTAGGGTGTAGGGTTTAGGGTTTAGGGTTTAGGGTACGTATAACTGTAGCGATAACCCTAGTCTTAGCACTTCAGGGGCTTATAAGTGGGTTATAAGTACAGTTATACTTGGTCAATCAGTACCATGAACCTCCAAGTACTGACATCGATGAGAGCTACCAAGACGGCCCTCAAAACCCTCTGAACAAATGTTCTTGAATATGATCCGCGTCAGACCAATCAGGGAACACATCACATGGCTGCACTTAGCAGGGTAGCTATAAACTTAATGTTGAGCTGCCTTATTAACCAAAAAGGCTAAGGATCTAAAGTTACAGTAAAGCACCGCAGAGATCAAATGTCCCAAGAGTCTACCGAGTAGACAAACAAAGCAACTACGTGTAAACAATCAGTAAGTAGAGATGTGTAGAAACATCCTAGCATGTAGCTACGTACATCCTAGCAACTATCCTGTCAAAGCCTGAAGGGCATATAGCCCAGGCCCCCAAACCCCTCAAGCCACGCCTAAACTGCCCTATGCCGTAGCGGCTCAAGAAAGCCAGCCACTGTCGACCCTAAACACTGAACCCTAAACCTTAAACCCGAAACCCTAAACCCTAAACCCTAAACCCTGAACCCTAAAACCTAAACCCGAAACCCGAAACCCTAAACCCTAAACCCTAAACCCTGAAGCCTAAACCCTAAACCCTAAACCTTAAACCCTAAACCTAAATCTCGATTTTCAGCCCCTCAAGCTCTTCAGCCCATGCCACGGGTAGACGTCGTAAGCGGCTCGCGAGCGCCCCACGACCTCCACCTGCCGAAGAACAGGTTTAGGGTTTAGGGTTTAGGGTTTAGGGCTTCGGTCTTAGCCCTAAAGCACTATAAAGCCCTAAACCGATGGCAACACCTTGAAGCCCTGAAAGCCGAAACCCCCAAGCCCGATACCCTGGCTGCCACACCTGCCCCCAGTCTAACAGTACTGAGCAATAGACCCTTTAGGGTTGTGTTTAGGGTTTAGGGTTTAGGGTTTAGGGTTTAGGGTTTAGGGTTTAGGGTTTAGGGTTTAGGGTTTAGGGTTTAGGGTTTAGGGTTTAGGGTTTAGGGTTTAGGGCCAGCGCCTTGAAGGATGGATTGCGGCCCAGCTCGGAGTAGATTGCGCCGTTGATGCCTGTGCCGGCGCCTGTCATCACTTTGCGTGCTAATTACCCTAAACCCTAAACCCTAAACCCTAAACCCTAAACCCTAAACCCTAAACCCTAAACCCTAAACCCTAAACCCTTGGGTTTGGGGACTTCTGTTAAAGATGCCTCAAGGGAATGTAAGGGCCATATACCTTACAGGGCTTCGAGTCTAGGGCTTTTTGGGGGAGATCTCTCATCTAGGGTGGGCTTAGGATTACAGGGTTTAGAGGTTAGGCTTGGGTTTAAACCCTAAACCCTAAACCCTAAACCCTAAACTCTTTTTTAAGGATCCTCTAAGGGAAGATGAGGGCCAGAATGGGAGGACAATTCAGAGAACCTCTTCGGGGTACATCCTCAGGGGTCCAAGCCGGACTCCCTTGACATTTCAGGTGGCTGCAGGGGTTTAGGGTTTAGGGTTTAGGGTTAGGGTTTAGGGTTTAGGGTTTAGGGTTTAGGGTTTAGGGTTTAGGGTTTAGGGTTTAGGGTTTAGGGTTTAGGGTTTAGGGTTTAGGGTTTAGGGTTTAGGGTTTAGGGTTTAGGGTTTAGGGTTTAGGGTTTAGGGTTAGGTTTAGGGTTTAGGGTTTAGGGTTTAGGGTTTAGGGTTTAGGGTTTAGGGTTTAGGGTTTAGGGTTTAGGGTTTAGGGTTTAGGGTTTAGGGTTTAGGGTTTAGGGTTTAGGGGGCTGGCTTGTTAAGGGCTGGAGGTGTAGGATGGCTCAGGCCTCACAGCTCAGGATTTTTTGGGTTTAGTCCTAAACCCTAAACCCTAAACCCTAAACCCTAAACCCTAAATCCTCAACCCTTCGACTTTTGCCGTTCGGAGGCTTCTAAGGCCTCAAGTAATGCCTCGGTCCTCCACACCTGGAAGAAAAGGCTTTACAGAAACTAACGCCTTTTCTGATTTCTGAGGCCAGACTAAGCTAAACAGCTTTAAGCAACCAAAGCCCAAAAACCCTGAACTCCAAACCATAAAACTCCAAAGCCCAAAACCCAACCCCCCCCCCAAAAAAAAAAAAAAACATAAAGCTAAAACACCAACACCTCAAACCCTAAAAACCCAAAATCCCGAAACCTAAACAACACAACAAACCAAACCCTAAACCAAGCCCTACAACCCAAAACCCTAAAACCCCAAACCCTAAAGCCCTAAAGCCCTAAAGCCCTAAAACCCTAAAACCCTAAAAACCTATAAACCTATAAAACCCTAAAACCCCAAACCCCATACAAACCCCTAAGGGCCCTAAACCCTAAACCCTAAGCCCTAAAACCCTAAACCCTAAAACCCTAAATCCCCAAACCCTACACAAACCCCTAAGGGCCCTAAACCCTCAACCCTAAAACCCAAAAACATTAAGCCCTAAACCCTAAAACCCTTGGGAGGCCCTAAACCCTAAACCCTAAACCCTGAACCCTGAACCCTAGAACCCTAAAACCCTTAGGAGGCCCGGTCACCTGGAGCCACCACCGCCACGGAGATCTTCGACGGCACAATTGGCTTGATCTCGACCTTGACCTCCTGCAGAGGTGCTGAAATCATATCTTGGGGTGTTCCCCGGTTTAGGGTTTAGGGTTTAGGGTTTAGGGTTTAGGGTTTAGGGTTTAGGGATGTGCCACCCTAAGGGCTGTTCGTAACGTCCCAAACCCTAAGACCCCAATGCAACCCAAAGCCACCACAAATCCCAAAAAAGCCCCCAAGCCCCTACCTTAAACCCTAAACCCTAGACCCTAAACCCTAAACCACAAAAGGCCCCCAAGCTTCTACAAACTCGGAGCTCTTCGTCAAACCGCTGAGGCACGGGCCGATGGTGGGCTGCCAGGGGCCGGCACCTCCGTTTGAAGTTGGGATTTTCTTGGGGTCCTAGAGGGTTTACCCTAAACCCTAAACCCTAATCCCTAAACCCGAAACCCGAGACCGAACCCTAAACCTCAAACCCTAAACCCTAAATCCTAAACCCCCTCAGCCCTAAACACTAAACCAGAGGGTTTGCTGCTATTTGAGTTTTATGGTTTAGGGGGCTTCGGGTTTTCAGCGGCGGTGGGGCAGGTGCATATCTGTACAGGGTGATGGAAGGTAAAAGCTCACAAAAGGGCTCGCAAGGTGATCTAGCTAAGCCGGATTCCACGGTAATGGCGACCGAGAGGGGCAACACATTAGGAAAGTTACGAGCAACTAGTATACAAAAAACAAACACGGCAATAATACTAGTTCTTATTCATTTACTTCATTACGTATTCATAATTTTATGTACTTCTTTACTGATATGTTCACACACATATGCGAGAGAGATCCGGCAAAGGTTGCTCAAATGGACCCTAGTTTCATGTACTGGCTGCCTGTAACTACCTGTCTGGAAGATTCAATAATGGGCAAGGATCAGACGTCAAAGCTATCAGTTTTATGTACAGTGAAAAGATGAGGTCAAGTTCATTAGATTGAAACTACGAGAACAGAAACCAAAGTAAAGCAAAACATAAACAAACAGAAGGAGATCAGAAAACCCTAAACCCTAAACCCTAAACCCTACACCCTAAACCCTGTTTTGTAAACTTCAAGGCTTGAAACTTTGCAAACTGGTCAAGGTTTCAAGGGAAGCCAACTCCGCCCCCACCTGCAAGTGGCCCTCGGTTCGCGCTCGCCGGCGCGTGCGCTGGATCACCTTTTCAGGGCCACTCGGGGTTAGGGTTTAGGGTTTAGGGTTTAGGGTTTAGGCTTTAGGCTTTAGGCTTTAGGGTTTAGGGTTTAGGGTTTAGCATATGGTGCAAAGCAGAACAATCAAGGGGCTTCGAGGATTAGGTTCAGGGTTTAGGGTTTGGAGTTCATGGCTTTCAGGGCCGACTTCCTCCCCATACCCTAAATGGAATAAGCGGTTTAGGGTTTAGGGTTTAGGGTTTAGGGTTTAGGGTTTAGGGTTTAGGGTTTAGGGTTTAGGGTTTAGGGTTCCCCAAAAACCGCCTTACCACACCATAAGCAAGACACGATGCACACATATTCATGTGCGGTGTGGGAACTAAATGCCATCCTGAGCCCTAAACCCGAAACCTCCAAAACTCTAAGCCTGCAAGCCCTAAACCCTAAACCCGAAACCCTAAGCCCTTAGGCTGCCCTAACAAAGGTTTAGGGTTTAGGGTTTAGGGTTTAGGGTTTAGGGTTTAGGGTTTAGGGTTTAGGGTTTAGGGTTTAGGGTTTAGGGTTTAGGGTTTAGGGTTACAAGCTGCCCCAAAACACCTTCAAACGCTGATGTGGTTCCCGCGCCTCTGGGCCCGTTGGCGAAGCTGTCGGAGAGCCCCAGTTCAAAAGTGCTGCCTGAAATTCTGAACGGGGGGGGGGGGGTTAGGGTTTAGGGTTTAGGGTTTAGGGTTTAGGGTTTAGGGTTTAGGGTTTAGGGTTTAGGGTTTAGGGTCTAGGGTCAAGGGTCAAGGGTCTAGGGTTTAGGGCTTAGGGTTTGGGGGTAGCTGCTGAGACGTGCGGTTGAGGGTTTCTGGCTCAGGGTTCATAGGGCTTGTCGTACCATGACAGGGGAGCCACGCTTTTCACTCTATCCGTGCTCTGGAAACTCTTTCGGGATGGAGCCCTAAACCCTAAACCCTAAACCCTAAACCCTGAACCCTAAACCCTAAACCCTAAACCCTAAACCCTAAACCCTAAACCCTAAACCCTAAACCCTAAACCCTAAACCCTCTTGGACCGGGCCGAAGGTAGTGTCGGCATAGACTTCGGGAGCGGGGGTTCGACTTTATGCCCAGATGGGGATTCCAGCAGTCTAGGGTGCAGGGTTTTAAGTTTATAGCTCAACCCTAAACCCTAAAGCCTAAACACTAAACCCTAAACCCTAAACCCACAGGTTTTAGGGGTTCCGGGAGGCAGATGAAGTGTAACCCCCCTCAGACTCCACAAAGCCAAAGGCAAGCAGGCAGGCAATTGCACCCCCAAAACCTTAGGGTTTAGGGTTTAGGGTTTAGGGTGTAGGGTTTAGGGTTTAGGGTCCTTAAATCTTTAAGCCTACAGTCGCCCACGGCCCTAACCCTAAAGAACCCTAAACCCTAAACCTGGAATTCTAAACCCTAACCCTAAAGCCCGAAGCCCTGAACCCTAAACCCCGAACACTGAACTCTGAACCCTAAACCCTAAACCCTAAACCCTAAACCCTAAACTGAACTCGCGAAGGGAAGGGTCTAGCCTTCGGCGTCTGGCCCACGGTGCGGATAAACGGAGTGCCACTTGGACTGGTGGGTCCTGTTCCACAAGCGGTTGGGGGGGGGGGGGGGGTAGGGGGCTTGGGGTTTGGGGTCTAGGGTCCAGGGTTTGGGTTTTGGGTTTAGGGTTTAGGGTTCCCAAAACCCCATAAACTTCCGAGGCCCTGCCTAAACTATGCCTAAGCCCGAAAACTATGATACCCCTAAACCTGGTTCCCCAACCCCAATCCCAAACCCAAAACCCAAAACCCTACACCCCAACTCCCGAAACCCCTAAACCCTAAACCCTAGAATAGACCCTAGACCATAGACCCTCGACCCTAGACCCTAAAACCTACAAGACTTGGTTCCCCAATCCAAAATCCCAAAACACCCAAAACCCTAAACCCCAAATCCTAAAGCCTAAACCCCTAAACCCTAAACCCTAAACCCTAAACCCTAAACCCCTAACCCCCCCCCCCCCCCCCCCCCCCCCCCCCCCACGCCCCCTCAAGTATAGTCGGCTTCACCTGAGTTGAGGATGCCGGCGAGGTCCAAGTGGTGCTCAGCTTCACGTCGGGCCTTGAGTGTAGGGTTTAGGGTTTAGGGTTTAGGGTTTAGGGTTTAGGGTTTAGGGTTTAGGGTTTAGGGTTTAGGGTTTAGGGTTTAGGGTTCAGGGGTTTAGGGCTTAGGGCTTAGGGTTTAGGGTTTAGGGTTTAAGGTTTAGGGTGAAGGGTTTAGGGTTTAGGCTTTAGGGTTTCGGGTAGCTTGGAGGCTGAAGGGGTTTTCGTAGGGCTTTGTAGGGGGCTTTCTAGGATTTGGGGCTTTTAGCGAGCGTCAGGGTTCAAACATCTGGTTTAGGGTTTAGGGCTGCCGGTTTGGGCTGAGGTCCTTCTCTTCTTCATAGGTCTTTAGGAGTGCTGCCGTTGATCAGGACTGTGAGGAGCTTCTTCGGAAGCATTGGGATGGTGACTGTGATGCGCTGATCAGCCTGAAGATGCAAGAGCTCCGCCATCTGGACCGACTTGACCTCGCCGCTCTTCGAGCGCTTTCAGCATGGCTCATCGGCAGCGCTGAGCATTCTTACAGGGGTTTGGGGTTTGGGGTATTGCTTTCAGCACATGGTCACGGACCTCGACCACTTCCTTGATGAATGCGCGACAGCGTGGCTTGCCATCCTTGGCCTCAGGGATTGAGCCGAGCCCCTGAAGAAATGGATTGAGGGACTTGTGAGCTGCCTCGTTTGGGAGGGAGGTGCTTGCTTCTGCGAACGCGTGCTCCCATGCCGCAAGCATAGGAAAGAGTGGCCCTGAGGCCTCCTGGAATTGGGCGTAGAAGCGAGCAGTGGAGGGGAGTCCTGCTTCTGGGCCTCAAGGGTCAAGGGTTTAGGGTTTAGGGTTGGAATGTTCCCCCTTGTACTAACATTCCTTAATGGAACATCCCAAGGTTTAGGGTTTGGGGTGCCTAACAGAACACACTTGCTTGCTCTGTGCTTTCGGGCGCTGCTTCCGTTACAGGGTTTAGGGTTTAGGGTATGGGGTTTAGGGTATAGGGCTAGGGTTTAGGGTTTCGGGAGTTTCGGGTTTAGCGTTTAGGGTTGAACCCTAAACCCTACACCCTAAACCCTAAACCCTGAATTCAAACCCTACACCCTAAACCCTGGACCCTAAACCCTGAACCTAGTTCAGGGTTGAGGGTTACCCTGCACGCGGCCGCGCCTGCTCCACGGTAATGTGCAAGGTGTCGGCAAGCTCGGCCACGAGGATATCCACCTGGAAGAGTTTAGTTTAGGGGTTTGGGGTTTGGGGTTTGGGGTTTGGGGTTTGGGGTTTGGGGTTTGGGGTTTGGGGTTTGGGGTTTGGGGTTTGGGGTTTGGGGTTTGGGGTTTACGGTTTAGGGTTTAGGACGAGGATATCCACCTGGATGAGTCCTAGACCTCCCAAGTTCCCATGAAAAAAAGCATCCCTACACAAAAAGGCAAAATCCAAAAGAACAGCCAACAAAAGACCCTAAAACACCCTAGAGGCCCTAGACCCGAAGAAGCAACATCCTAAAAACGACACCAAAACAAGCCCGAAGGCACCCTGAAAGCCCTAATAAAACAGTATATGAAAAAGCATCCCTAAAAGAATCCTCAAAAGACATCCAAAAGAAGCCCTAAAGCGCCATAAACGCCCTAATTAAACCTAAACCCTAAACCCTAAACCCTAAACCCTAAACCCTAAACCCTAAACCCTAAACCCTAACCCTAAACCCTAAACCCTGAAAGCCCCAATTGCACCCGAGATCTTCAACCTCAGCTCCTCAAAGCCCCTGCCCGGGAGTTGGGATGCAATAATGCCCAGAGTAGGAATGGGTTTAGGGTTTAGGGTTTAGGGTTTAGGGTTTAGGGTTTAGGGTTTAGGGTTTAGGGTTTAGGGTTTAGGGTTTAGGGTTTAGGGTTTAGGGTTTAGGGTTTAGGGTTTAGGGTTTAGGGTTTAGGGTTTAGGGTTTAAACCCGATAGGGTTTAGGGCTTGGGTTTAGGGCTTCGGGTTTAGGGTACCTCTCACGCAGCATCCGTCCCCCTTAAAGCCTTAACCCTAAAGCAAAAACTCAAACCTTATAAACCGAACACTTATAGACCCTAAACCTCATAAACCCTAAGCCTTGGGATGTTTTTTTCTGAAATCACCAGTCCTTACGTAATTGAGATTAGAAGGGGGTGCCATAATCCCTAACAGGGACAATTAGTATATGGGGGAACATCCCAAGGTTTACCCTAAACCATATAATCCCTACACCCTAGACCCTGAACCCTAAAGCTTATCGACCCTAAACCCTAAACTCTAAACCCAATACCTAACACCTTGCAAACTTAAACCCTAAACCCGAAACCCTACTCCTTATAAACCCTAAACCCTAAACTCTAAATCCTAAACCCTAAACCTTAATAAACTCTAAACCCTTCTCTCTGAGGATGGGGCAGGTGCGGGCTGGCCGGTTGTCAGAAGCGCATAAAGGCGCTGCTCCTCGGCGCAAACTTGCACGGTTGGTCTGTTGGGGTCGAGGGTTTGGGGTTTGGGGTTTGAGGTTTGGGGCTTAGGGTTAAGGGTTCAGGGTTTAAGGTCTAGGGTTTAGGGTTTCGCGTTTCGGGTTTGGGGTCTCTAGTGTCGAGGAATTTGGGGTTTTAGGGGTTATAGGCTTTTGTTGAGTTCACCTGAGTGTGCGGCCATGCTTTTGCGAGAAATAGCGAGAATCCCTTCGCTATGCAACCGTTCTTCTGAGCTGCATCATCCATGCAGGGCTCCCTCCGTTCAAAGAGGCCAGAGCGCACAGTTTGAGGGAAGCCGCATACCCTAAACACTAAACCCTAAACCCTAAACCCTAAACCCTAAACCCTAAACCCTAAACCGCAGACACCAGCACTCGATCGACTCCACCTGCCGCAGCCCAAACCCGGCACCCCAACAAAGCTTGGCATCCCACAACATGACACTCATTTTTGCTTTTGTTTTGTTTTTGTTTTTTTTTTTTTTTTTTTTTGGGGGGGGGGGGGGGGGGGGGGGAATTGATCCATCAATTACTAGATCGTTTCGACAGGATTGGGAGCACTGCAGCAAGATGAAGGGATCCATTTCCCCGAATCCATACAGCAGGAGAGCTGAAACCGAAGGCAGCCTTGTTCAGCTGCACATCTTTACAGAGGCGGGCTGCCGTCCAAAGAGCGAGCAGACATAGCCAAAGCCGAGACCGAAGTCCATCGCGGGGAGCACAAGCATGAGTCCGGATTGGTCAGCTTGCAAAAGTTCCAGTTTCCCTGATTGTTCGCGCCAGTGCGCGGAGACTCGAACCGGGAAACCCTAACTCTAACCCCTAAACCCTAAACCCGAAACCCAAAACCTAAACCCTAAGCCAAAAGGACGCGGAAAGTCATCACACTCCAAGTAGCGAGCTCATTGCTGAAACCAGGCGTAGTCGTAGACTCCTGATGCAGGCTTCCTGAGACTAGATGGCCGTAACACACCCTCTGCAGAATATTCGGGGTTTTAGGGTTTAGGGTTTAGGGCTTGGTTAGGGTTTAGGGCTTAGGGATAAGGGAGAGACTACTGAATGTCCCAAGGGCTTCCTGAGAGAGCCGATGGCGCTGCCGATGTTGGTGCTCTGCCCAGAGTTGATGGTGTTGGTACTGTATAGCACCGTTTCCTCGGCTTGTGCTATTCATGGGCGCCATCTGAAAAGATTCCTAAATAGGGAAATGTATAGGTTTAGGGTTTTAAGCTTAGGGTTTTAGGTTTAGGGTTTAGGGTTTAGGGTTTAGGAAAGGAATTCGAGAATTAATTCCAAGGGCCTACAGTACCTAGACTCAACGTAACCACTTCAACACAACAAGGCGAAAAACAGAAAAGATTCCATGGCCGCACCTAGATTCAATGTAACCACGCTGTGGCTGATGATGATTGTGCCGTGGTAGCCCGTAACCATATTAGAATCAGGTACCCCTTTTTGGGGTTGTTTGCTTTATAAGGGAACCTTCAGACAAAAGAAGGAAAAAGGGTACCTCTGGACTACCAAGTTACCCTAAACCCTAAACCCTAAACCCTAAACCCAAAACCCGAAACCCTTAAAACGTAAACCCTAAACCCTAAACCCTAACCCTAAACCCTAAAACCCTAAACCTAAACCAAGGTGCCATGCCCGACGTCCCCCAGCGATATTCAGCGTGCTCCGAGGCGTTGTCATGCTCGGAGCTCAGAAGCCTTTGAAGGCTTTGGGACCTTGGAGACGGAAGGAACCTGAGAATGAGATTTAGGGTTTTAGGGTTTAGGGTTTAGGGTTTAGGGTTTGGGGTTTAGGGTTTAGGGTTAGGGCTGAAGCTCTCGAATTTTATAAGGTCCATGGAGAATCGGGTTTGGGCATAAGGCTCTCGAAATACAGGGTCTGTAGACCACGTTAAGAGGGTTTCCGAAATAGGGGTAATGTTAGAGTCGCTTTAATAAACCCCCCCCCCCCCCCAAATCTTGTTTTGGTCCCCGGGGTTTGGAGGGGTGGAAAAAAAGAGGGGGTGTCAATTATGAGGATTCTGGGGGTCTGGGGTCTGGGGGTCTGGGGGGGGTCAGCTGTCAGGGTCTGCTTTGCTTTTTTCAGTAAAATTTTCAATTCCTGGCCAGAGAAATTTTACAATTGCCACCCCATTCTTATCATCACCGGACCCCCCTATATAGACTTGTTTACATACATCGGCCCGAAAACCTCCCGTAATGGAAAGTAGTCTTCGGCTGGGGCCCTCTGGCCTGGCGAATATTACTATTGCCACCCCAATTTAAAAAGCCACTCTCACATTAGCTTATTGGGGTCCTTATTGCAACGGAATCCTACTCTTCGAGATTCAATTTAGGGCCCTATTTTGGTAAACTCCCATAATCCTAAACCCTAAACCCTAAACCCCCCAAATAATCCCTTTAAGGGTTCGGGTTTTTTCCCAAGGCACTTGCTGCTCCAGCTGCCGATTGCGCTCCTGCGTGCCGCGCAAGGCGTGGAGCAGCCGCTCCTTTTCCTGGAGGTCCAGCGGCTGATCTTGCCCCCCTCGGTTGGGCACGACTTAGGGTTTAGGGTTTAGGGTTCAGGGTTCAGGGTTCAGGGTTTAGGGAAAGGGTTTAGGGATTAGGGTTGGACAAGGCCAAGAAATCCAAGAGGGAACTCGGGGGGACGAGGTACCCGACAAGATTCCCCCTAAACCCTAAACCCTTCACCCTAAACTCCCTAAACCCTCAACCCTAAAACCTAAACCCTAAACCTTATAAAAACCCAAACCCTTTCAGGGACTGCAAAAGGGAACCCCCTCGAATGCCCCGGTGTGCCCTCCATAGCAACTCGACGTGCACATCTGCCGATACAGGCCAGCCTACTTCTGGGCACTAAGCCCCAAACCTTAAACCCTAAACCCTAAACCCTAAACCTTAACCCTCTAAACCCTAAACCCTAAACCCCGCCGCCAAAGATGTGGGGCTTCGTGTGTGGTTTAAAGACTCAGTCTTCAGCGCCACTGAATGCAAATCCCATAGGACCCTCATGTCGATTAGATTGAGGGACCCTTATCTAAACCCTAAACCCTAAACCCTAAACCCTAAACCCTAAACCCTAAACCCTAAACCCCAAACCCTAAACCCTAAACCCCAAACCCTAAACCCCAAACCCTAAACCCCAAACCCTAAACCCCAAACCCTAAACCCCAAACACTAAACCCCAAACACTAAACCCTATACCCTTCTGGGTCAATTTTTGCCCAGGCGCTGCGACTGGACTCTTCGACGAGATCAACCTGAGTGTCGGCGACCAGGCCTGGGGTTGCGGCTAAGGCACTGAAACTAAGGTTTAGGGGCTTCGGGTTTAGGGTTTAGGGTTTAGGGTGTAGGGTTTAGGGTTGAGGGTTTAGGGTTGTTTAGGCCTCAGGCACTCAAAGTTGAGTTATGTTGCCAGCATATCTAGTGTGCGATGACAAAGGTGGTTTTCTCATTCTGCCAGCCTTCAGGTTTTGGGTCATACATACCCATTTAGGGTTTAGGGTTTAGGGTTTAGGGCCCTAAACCCTGAAACATCCCTAAACCCCGCTTCCTCAGCAGCAACCAAGACACCCCATGCATAGAGCGCCAGCGCCAGCACTGCGCGGAACGGGGCGGCCATGGCTTTTGCTCTGAAGCCCTAAACCCTAAACCCTAAACCCTAAACCCTAAACCCTAAACCCTAAACCCTAAACCCTAAACCCTACATGATCAACTCTAACACCCCTAAACCCAAAACCTCTAACAGCCCTGCACTCCCCCAAAAGAACCCTAAACCCTAAACCTTTCATGCACTGTCTTAGAGATTGGAGATGCTCTCTGCCTAGGTCTCATAGCCTGGAAGATGACTGCCCGGGCGTAGGGTTTAGGGTTTGGGGTTTAGGGTTTAGGATTTAAGGGCTTACAAGGGTTTAGAAAATAGTGTTCAGGGTTTACAGGGGTATGAGAGAATCAAAGGGGTTTAGGTCTACTTGCAGTTCTATTTTTTGCATTGCAGCAGGACGCCAAAGCAGATTCAGAAAAAAACGATGCGGATCCCTTCAGGTTTTGGGTCCTAGATACCCGTTTAGGGTTTTAGGGTTTAGGGGTTAGGGTTTAGGGTTTAGGGTTTAGGGACCCTACCCCTTTATCCACTTTGAGCGAAGCTATATTTTTGAACATCTGTTTTGCATTTGCTGCGGCATCTTGCTATTCGTTATTTTGCGGGTTGCACAGCGCCTAAACCCCATTCGGTTCTCCCCAGGAGCGTTTGCAACGATTGGAGTTCAGGGCTCAGGGTTCAGGGTTCTCGCTTAGACTCCTGGGCACTACTAGGGTTTAGGGTTTAGGGTTTAGGGCTTAGGGTTTAGGGTTTAGGGTTTAGGGTGTTTAACACCAAACGAAGAGAAGCTTCTGAGACTCGTCTCGAGGGATGCCAGACTTTTAAGGGCTTGCATGAGGTTGCTAGTATAGGGTTTAGGGGTTAGGGTTTAGGGTTTAGGGTTTAGGGCTACTGTAG